TACAAATCCGGTAAATAGCCTAATTCGGTAGGTCACATTCGTGAAAAGGGAAGGGTATTGTAGTTACGACATAAGGAACATATCCGATATCATCTGTGAAACGGTTATTCCATAACGGTCAACCAACTCGTGATGGCGTCCGTAAAACTTACGAAGGGATGATTTCAACTTCACCATTTGGAACTCTTGGTTTGATAGCTTCCTTGTATGCAGCAATCCTCTATCAAGGAAATCATGATAGGAAATACAAGCCCGGGAATATCGTATCAATTGGGAGATATATACTCCGTATGCAGGCGCTGCTGGAATGTTGCTACATAGAAATGGAAAGTTCACAATTGGAGTGCTGAAATCATCTCTTTTGTCGTAAAATTTTGTTTTTAACCAACCCTCATTGTCAATTTCTAGATGTAAGTCAAGATATGAGGCAAACTTAACTGTATCTGTAGTATCCTTTATTTCTAGTTCGATGGGATAGATTCGTTCAACATAGTCACCAAATTTTGTATTATTTAGTGAGAGAACATCATCTATATAGCGGAACGTAAAGTTAAAGTATATTGCTAACTTTTTATCTTTCTTCCTTAGAAGTCGTTGTATGAAGTCAGCCTCATAATAATAAAGAAACAAGTCGGCAAGAAGAGGGGCACAATTGGTTCCCATTGGAATTCCGACAGTCTGTTGAAAAACACGTCCTCCAAACGTAACAAATATGTTGTCAATCAAGAAATCAAGCATCTTGATAATGTCAAATTCAGAGAATTTTTTGTTTGAATCAGAGTGATTCTTTACAAAGTAGGATGTTCTACAGTGTACCTGTGATAAACAGTATGTTGGTAAGTCAGAACGGTAATTTTACAAACGCATGAACGGACACCATTGTGACTATAACAATCATATACCACAACAGTGCTTGGTCTAGGTAGGAAAGAATCAGTCGGAAAAGATTCTGGATCAAACAAACAAAAACGTTTGTACACATTTTGATCAATTAAAAGGTTTAATTCTAATCGCGCAGTGTTATTTATTTGGGTTTTATTACCACGCTGTCTCTGTTGTAATTCCTTCACCTTCTTCTACTATGAAATTCTAGAATTAATACTTGTTTAAATCGTACGGTGCTATTCATTTGGGATGTATTTATATGCAGCCTCCGTGTAATTACTTAATCTTCGTCAAAATTTGAAATTTACAGAGTATACCAGTTCCAATCGGTCAGGGCTATTCATTAAGATTGTATTTCTACGCAGTCTCTGTTGTAATAACTGAACTTCCGTCACATGTGAAGTTTTAGAATTGTATAGTAATGTGCGATATGAACTGGTGCAATTCTTTTTAGATGCATATCTTTTCAGTCTCTGTTGTAAATACTAAACCTACGTCTTTTTTTGAATTTTAGAATTATACAAGCGTTGTTCGGTTTTTAATTGTTTTTTGGTAAAGTTCAAGTTATTTAAATCAGAATGGATTGAAATGATTCATTTTACCTCACCATAATCATACTGATGAAGAATATTTGTTATCCGAAATATTTATAGATACTTGCATTTATTGTTTCCTTTTTTAATATGGGTGTTGTTTTGTACAGTTAATAAACGTTTATATATTTATTTATTGTGTACAGGTAATGTTACGCGTAACGATCCAGCGCCCTCGTAAGAAAGATCGTTGACTGATATCTAGACGTTATATATATATATATATTGATGCTTTTCTGCAACTCAAACAAAGCAAATTTCAGTGATTGCATGCATCTCACATATCCCATTATACTTGATATTAAAGATACTACAACTATATCTTCTTCTTTCTTCACCTTTTCTTCAAACTGCCACAGATGGACGACTTCAAACTACACAGCTACTTTAGTACAAGCACTCTTGATGTACAGGTCATATAATAGTATCTACTTCACAAATAATACAAGATGGTATTGAGTTATAGATCCTAGGTGCTAAAGTTGTGTATCTTTTTATTTAGTTTTTTCCGTTATTTGTTTTCGTTCTTTTACGTTTCTATGACATTTGACATGACTCGGTATTTATGCATCCCGCAATTGGGTTTTTGACTTCAAATTTGGGTATTCATAGTGCTAGTGAGTCCTGATGTGCAATTCGGACACTAGGGTTTTTTTACAGTGTTGTTTCTATTTTGTTTACCATTGTATGTCTATTTAATAAACTTTTACTTTATCGAAAAAGTGTAGACTATACACTATACACGGTATGTAGTATCAACGACAAATATTTGTTTGTTTGTTTGTGACGTCATTGTCAAATTTACGTCACTGATGTAGACGTAACTCGCGTCTGGCGTACACAATTTTGGTTTCGTCATCTATGATGAATGTTTACTATTTACTACACCTTTTTTGATGGCGTCTTTCTTATATTTTTAAAAGTGTATGTTTGTTTGAATGTTTTAGTAAGTTGTGTTGTATGTCTGTGATATATGTTTACAATGTTTTGACTGCTGAATCCCAACTATAATCACAGTAACCTACTATGTATGTTTGGATGGCTCACCTAATTTTGTCAATATATGTCAGCGGTTTAGCTTCCTATAAAACGATGTGTAACCCATCATTTTCTTTGAAAAATGCATGTACCAAGTCAGGAATATGGGTGTTGTATTAGACTTGTTTCGTTGATTGAGGGCGTTTGATTTTGTCAGTTTTATGGACTTTCTCCTTTTAAATTTGCCTTAGAGTTCAGCCTTTTTGTCACACTTTTTACTACACCTTTTTTGTTGGCGTCTTTCTTATATTTAAAAAGTGTATGTTTGTTTGAATGTTTTAGTAAGTTGTGTTGTATGTCTATGATATATGTTTACAATGTTTTGACTGCTGAATCCCAACTATAATCACAGTAACCTACTATGTATGTTTGGATGGCTCACCCAATTTTGTCAATATTAGTCAGCGGTTTAGCTTACTATAAAACGAGGTGTAACCCATCATTGTCTTTGAAAAATGCATGTACCAAGTCAGGAATATGGCTGTTGTTTTAGACTTGTTTCGTTGATTGAGAGCGTTTGATTTTGTCAGTTTTATGGACTTCCTCCTTTTAAATTTGCCTTAGAGTTCAGCATTTTTGTTACACTTTTTGCATGCATATAAACTGTACGTTTGTAAACATATATTAACTGTGTAAATGCATTTTCACAGATAGGCACTTTATAAACATTTTCACAGATGTGCAGTTTAAATGCATCTCACCGAATGTGCATTTTATATACAGCTTTAGAGATGTACAATTTATCAACATCTCAAAGAGTATACAGTTTATATACATCTTAATAATTGTACATCAAGATTGCTTGTACTAAAGTTGTTGTGAAGAATTTAAAAAAAACGTGATGATTTCAACTTTCAAATTGTCAAAGTCTCATTTCTCAGCAGTAACATACATTTTCATTTACCTGTGTATAATATACATTTTCATTTACCTGTGTATAATATGACGCAGGTTTCTTCAATAGTGATGATTTTCTATAAATTGTTTGAAATTTCACAATGATATCATACTTTAACCTTTGTTTAAACCTGTTTATTTACTTTTGACTTTAATTATTTATCCCTTGTAATTTTTTATTAACTGTGTATTTGCATTCAGGTGTCACAGGTCAAATTTATTCGTTCATTGTGTGTTAATTTACGTTTTTTGATTGAGTTAAGCCTTCCAATTGATATTTTATAGTGTGTTTTTCTATGTTGTGATGTTATACTATTGTTTCAGAAAAGGGAGAAGGTTTGGTACCATTAAAACGTTTAATCCCGCTGCAAATGTTTGCACCTGTCCTAAGTCATGAATCTGATTACAGTAGTTGTCGTCTGTTTATGTAGTTCATACGTGTTTCTCGTTTCTCGTTTTTATATAGATTAGACCGTTGGTTTTTCTGTTTGAATGGTTTTACACTAGTAATTTTTTGGGGCCCTTTATAGCTTGCTGTTCGGTGTGAGCCAATGCTCCGTGTTGAAGGCCGTACCTTGACCTATAATGGTTTACTTTTATAAATTGTAACTTGGATGGAGAGTTGTTTCATTGGCACTCATCCCACATCTTCCTATATCTATGTACCCTTTATTCCATCGATTTTTGTTTACATATTTCAATTGATAAGTTATATTAGTTCATATTTATATAACATGTTTCAAACATAATAAAATACACATCAAGCGTATGATCTAAGTAAGTACCGACACAGCAGACCAAAGCCAATTAACTAATAAAACCTCAATGCGTTGACCTTAATAGACCAATTGATAAGAGAATTACTAGCGTGAACAATGATTAGAGATATACAGCTAAATATAAATAAACCTTGACCGCAGATAATTGATAGCTATTAACGACCACTCTTATAAGAACGATCACAGACACTATACCATAATTACAAAAGTAGTTATTGTTGATATAAAAGCCTGTAAACGTCCAGCAGGAAGTATTTCAGATACCCAGTCTGATATTGTTGAAGTACTGAAAAAATATAAAACATGATAAACTAATTATTTTTATTATGCAAATATAATGGATTTTTGACAGAAGCCGAGTCGGACAGAACATGAAACACTAATATAAACATCAATTAAAAATTTCTAATTAACACTATACGGAAGGGGAATGCACCTTACACAAAACCAACTTCAAAATGATTATACGAAAGAAACTCTGAAATCGGCACTTAATATTTTTTACGGTCACCATCACAAATTGGTTGACCGATACGACATTTCTGTGTCTCAACTCACTAGCGACAGGTTTTGGAAGACTTGGATATTTTGATTCCATAATAGTTGTCTTAGCTGTAATTTTATGGATTGTGTCCTTTTTCCAATGTTGACTTTGTGTGACTGAGCGTGGAATTGCGTGGCGCGTAATGCATGTATACTAGGAGAGGTTTACACCCTGTTTCGCTTCCTGTAATGTAAATGCAATTGTCGCAGTTTGTGTTTGTGTTTTAATCAATTAACGAGATTTGAATATCTGTAAAAACACTCATCAAAGAAACCATGTTTATAATTTTGTACGCCAGTCGCACTTTTCGTCTTCAATAGACTCATACTGAAACTAGAATCCAAAACGTGAAAAGGCCAAGTAAATTGTTGACCAGCATTAAACCACTGTAGGCTATATTTGTATTGATGCAAGTTTTTCTCGCTGCGTTGAAGACCCATTGTTGGCCTTCGGCTGTTATCTGCTCTTTGGTCGGGTTGTTGTCTCTTTGACATATTCCCCATTTCCATTCTCAATTTTATTGCAATGTGCATTTCAGACTATTTTCTAAGACTAGGTTTTGCAGCCTTGGGAATCAAATATATCAAATTTTATTTAACTGTCAATTTAGAAGTAATTGTGAACGATCTTTGTTCATATTGTTCATTGCTCTAACTAAATTCCAGTCCCGAAGTAAGAAATACGTATTTGAATAACCAGGAGATGATGCCGTATTCCATAATGTATAAGGCGACTGTTTATATGGCAAAAACCTAAAATGATGTTTCAGTTTGATATTGACCGACTTAGCTACTATTCCGATATATGCATCTTCTATTGGAATGACCTTAGTGAACGCTACTGCACTTGCTAACAGTAGTACAGTTTTGAAATTAGTCAAAATAGTTCCTCCTATTATATATGGTGGGTAAAACAAAAATGGATAATCGTCTAGTGAAATGTAAGTTTTTGAATTTTTATTCCTATGTGGTTTCGAGAATTCCAATTTATATCCTACCATTACTAAATCTGCAGAATCAATATTGTTTGATGCTAAATCATATATGTTTATTGGATTTACTAAACGGTCGTCATCAACAAAATGTATGAACTCAGCATTTATATTGACGTGTGATAGCCATAAAAGAGAATAAATAGTTTTATAAACTACATTTTCATACAGATCTGGTAGGTTTAGCTGTACAATATCTTTATAATTGGTTGACTCTAGTTGAACCAAATGGTCAATGTCGTCAAGGTATCCAACAATAAATAGAGTTTTTGATCGAAGTGCTGTCACTCCTCCCCAAGTCCGGCGTATAGCTATTCGTTGACCAAAATTTAAAACATATGACTTAACAATAAATATTATTTGTAAGGAATCACAGTTGGAATTTTTACACATTGATTTGGCAGGATTTATTCTATAGATATATTTTTCATTGAAATCGTTCAATAGATTGACGTTTAAACTTTCATTGTGCTGAATATCATATGCTATTTTCTCCATATTAGTATCAGGAACTTCCGAATCGAACAGTTCAAGTAATATGATTTGGATAAATAAAACTCCACATATAACGCCAATTAAAAATCTGGATCTGAAAGAAAAGAGTTATCAAAAGTTCATAAAGGATCATGATTGTTGTGAAAATGTTTTTTTTTGGTGACAAATGAGATGCTGTCAATGATGAAAACATCCATATGTATACAAATATATTTCAATTACAAAATGTTAGTCAACTTAAACCAATTGTGTAATTGATCTAAGGGATTGCGTTAAAAAAAATTAGAAAAAAAAGACAATGGATTAACGATGTCAATACTTTTCTTACTAGCATAGCTACGACAGGTACAAACTGACACTTTAAAATATATGGTGGTTCTGAAATATTGGGTGAATGGGTTGAAGTTCATCAGTTTCTACTGCTATAACTGCCGATGGAAACGATGATTACTTGGATTAGAACTGAAGGAAGGTGTTAGGTAAAGTATATAAATGCGTTGTATATAGATCGTGATCATTCAACGTCTAACCATTGTTATCTAAGTGAAACGTCATAAAACATAAGCGTTAGTTACCAACTTCTACTTGCATAAACTTGCTCTAAATTCACGTCATTTGAGGAATGAAAATACCCATTATGTTGCCCCTTCGATTACAAAAAGCGGAACAACTATTCAGGCCTTTCAAAAGTATGTTACTTTTGTTGATACATGGGCAGGTCGATCTTATTTGGATACTTCAGCGTAGAAATGTTACTTGAGATATGACTGTGTTGAAATAAATATGTCAAAAATGAGATTTTCTATATAAGGTGGCAATTTTTAACATATGTTTTAGGACAAATTATATATGAGACAAGTCCCTATCTGAAAACAAATTAAACAGTTATGAACATCTTCATAAATTAGATCGTGTAGCAAAATATCTGTTTGTGATAAGCCTTAACGACAAAATAATCTGAAAATTGAGGCTATATTTGCAGCTTTCCAGTTTTAAACTAAATCCAGTTAGTCTGCAGCCTTAAAGCAAATATTCAGGTCAAAGTTCAAAACTAATTATTAATACCAATTGTCTGTATCCATCAACCTAAGCTGGTTACGGATGGTCACCGATTTTGTTGAAAACTTCTGACAACAATCATGGACATAAAATATGAAAAAAATATGTTTATGTCACACTGTATTTTGTTTGGTTACCATGGCAACAAAGATTTTTTTTCAAGAGTTACTCCCCTTTGCATAACTCTCTAGACCGAAGTAAAGTGAAAGTCATTTGTTTACATACACTAAATGGAGACATACGTTAGGTAACATTTTGCTACTCATTATTCATTTGTTATACCAATTTAAGCATTTTTGTTGGTATCTTTATACATGTTTCATGATGGTTTGTCATTTGTTTTACAAGGCTGAGCATTTACAATGTTCAAGAGGGACGAAAGATACCAGAGGGACATTCAAACTCATTGATCGAAAACAAACTGACAACGTCATGGTTAAAATAAAAAGACAAACAGACAAATAATAGTACAGATGACACAACATGGAAAACTAAAGTCTTAAGCAACACGAACCCCACCAAAAACTGGGGATGATCTCAGGTGCTCCGGAAGGGTAAGCAGATCCTGCTCAACATGTGGCACCCGTCGTGTTGCTTATGTTACTACAAATCCGGTAAATAGTCTAACTCGGTAGGTCACATTCGTGAAAAGGGAAGGGTATTGTAGTTACGACATAAGGAACATATCCGATATCATCTGTGAAACGGTTATTCCATAACGGCCAACCAACTTGTGATGGCGTCCGTAAAATTTACGAAGGGATGATTTCAACTTCACCATTTGGAAATCTTGGTTTAATAGCTTCCTTGTGAGCAGCAATTCTCTATCAAGGAAATCATGATAGGAAATACAAGCCCGGGAATATCGTATCAATTGGGAGATGTATACTCCGTATGCAGGCGCTGCTGGAATGTTGCTACATAGAAATGGAAAGTTCACAATTGGGAAGCTGAAATCATCTCTTTTGTCGTAAAGTTTTGTTTTCAATCGACCCTCATTGTCAATTTCTAGATGTAAGTCAAGATATGAGGCAGACTTAACTGTATCTGTAGTATCCTTTATCTCTAGTTCGATGGGATAGATTCGTTCAACATAGTCAGCAAATTTTGTATTATTTAGTGAGAGAACATCATTTATATAGCGGAACGTAAAGTTAAAGGATATTGCTAACTTCTTATCTTTCTTCCTAAGAAGTTCCTGTATGAAGTCAGCCTCATAATAATAAAGAAACAAGTCGGCAAGAAGAGGGACACAATTGGTTCCCATTGGAATTCCGACAGTCTGTTGAAAAACACGTCCTCCAAACGTAACAAATATGTTGTCAATCAAGAAATCAAGCATCTTGATAATGTCAGTTTCAGTGAATTTTTTGTTTGAATCAGAGTGATTCTTTACAAAGTAAGATTTATCCGTCTCCAAGACAAGATACTTGTATCTACGTTCGCCATTCTTTTTAATGAAACTAAGTAATACCAACTCTTTCAGTTTGTCTTTTAGTTTGGAATAGGGAATACTTGTGTAAAGTGTAGAAAAGTCAAATGTTTTAATAATATTGCAAGATGAGAGAATCTTAGATTGTATGTACTCTAAAAGATCTTTGGATTTTTTTAGTATCCACATCTGATTCACGCCACCTCTAGAATAGGCAGTTTCACAATAACTTTGGAGCCCGGCTTTGATTGCTGATAAAATAGATGTAATAATTTAGAAAGAGGTTTCGTGGAGCACTTGGAAAACCCAGCAATATACCGTTGTTTGTAAGGACACTTATGTAGTTTAGGTATTCAAATGGCACTGAAAAATTGACATTAGACGTCTAAATGTGAAGTCCTCCTTAACCAATAGACGGATTAAAATAGACTTTCAATGGCATAACTTCAGAACATAATGCTATTGTGTAAACCTCTTATCTTCTTTTTTTTGTGTGACAATAACTGTTAGTCTGTAGTAACACAATAGGGATTTTTTAAGTATAGAGTTGAAATCCTTTTTTTTCAAAAACTGCTTGCCTTGATTAATTTTAATGAAATATTGACTTTTGAAGTATAATTTAAAGAATAAAACAAGTATGCACATCCTATCTCATTTCTATTTGTTTAAAGCTTTTACCAGGGATTTCAAATAGTAAAATATGGTCTATGCATTTTATAACATTTGAGGCAAGCGACACGAGTGTTTCTTGAAACACTGAAATCTAGGTATAGTTTTAGTGTTTTACAACGATTTTTTGCATGAGTAAGTCGTATAAGTCTTAATTGACGGGTACTTCTTTAGTTAAATTTTATTTTATTTTCATTTTTGCAGACTGACCTTTATTGCTGAAAAAATCTTTCAGAGTTAGATTAAGTTCTAGCAGACGAAACAAGGAAGTAATATAAACATGCAACATTATTTTTATGCATTTGACAGTACATTTGTACAGAATTTGAGCTGTTCCCATTACCTTTACAATGCAACACAAAACATAGCTATATTTGCAAGGCACTTGTTCTAATTGATAATTGGCAAAAAATCAGAATATAAAATACTTATTTACAATTTAAACTAAAGAAACAATCATTCAGAAGCTGATCATGTTGATTCTTTCCAAAAATTAAAAAAAAAATATAATAGCATAGTGGTGCTATAAGATTCAGATGATGATATTACATTAAATACAAATATATACTTAATGAAACTTAAAATAAAAATTTTCTTGTTAACATTTTGTATAGTTTGTCACCTAATTATTAGGTTAAATGTCAAACACATGCAGTCATATTTCTTTTATTAAGATACTCTAAGACACAGCTCACGATGACCTTGGTCCAGTTCTAGTCAAACAGATAAGGAAGGTAAATACCTAAACAATGTAAATTAGATTCGGGCAGATCCAGTCAAATTTGAAATGACTTCCAAACTAAAGGAACAGGAGTTTTCTTATACAAACACAATTTTTCATTCAAATTTTATTTACTTTGGGACCAAGGGAGGGGGTTAACCCCCAGAAACCCTTGTATTACATCTTCTACTGAGATTAATATAATGAAGTGAGGCTGACAAAGTTCTAAATCTTAGTAAGTTTAGTTTTGTGCAAACAAAAATTGTCATTTGTAAAGAAAAATCTGAAAAAAGGATTGAATTAAAATATCTTGGAAAATACATTTTTTCCATGCATGAAGTTAAACTGTCCTCATGCATGAAACATTGGAATAACGATCTTAAAACACGAAAACACTTTAAATGAAAAAAATCTGTTTACTAAAAAATCTTTAAAATTTTTTACAACATAGGAACGAAAACCTAAAGAAAATTGTATTACATAGCACACAACACCAACTCTAGATTACTAACAATCATTAATTAGAAAAATGAAATATTCCTGTAATGGTCCAATTAAAATGAGTGACATTGAGCAAAATAAAGAACTTTATTGCACACGGAGAGATAAATGTTTCTTTTCATAATAAGGGGAATGAACATCTTTTAGAAATTTTGGTTTATAGACATTTATACAACAATCTATCTTAAACCTTAGAGATTTCATCTCCTGTTACTTTCATACCAAAATCCAATTTTATACAGTAAGCTAATTCTCTTTTGTACAAAAAGGCAAGTAAAAACTTGTGGTTCTTGAAATCTTCAAAAAGCCAAAAATAAGTCTTCAACCCACAATTTTTTCTTAAAATGTCCTGTTATCAAATAGTCCGTTTCTATGTATGTTGGCGTTTGTTTTTGTTGCAGTTCTGTGTTTCTGTTGTTCCGTTGTTTTCCTCTTATAGTTGATGTGTTTCCTTCAATTTTAGTTTGTAACCCGAATTTGTTTTCTCTCAATCGATTTATGACTTTTGAACAGCGGTACACTACTGTTGCCTTTATTTGAGACTTCTATATGTTTATTGGATTTCAATATTCTCACACAAAATTGTTAGTTTTATAATGTTATGGATTATAATCTACTATGATGAAATTGCTTTTCAACATTTCTATTTAGATAGAGGAATCCATATTTCAGGAGTAAATCATTTATTTAGATGAAGAAATCAAGAGGGGTC